CATTGCGCTCATTGGTTTCTGGAACAGGAGCTCATTCTAAGCATTTCCTGACACAAATCTCTTTTTCACTATTTTTACACAATTCAAACAGCTTCTCACAAATCGAACACAAACATTTTTTCTAATTTGGACAGGACAACGTCTGTCGGGTCAGCTAGTATGTATATAAAAATTAATGTGTGTTTGTTTGTATGTATGTATGTATGTATGTATGTTTGTTTGAAATCTAAAGTAGTACTGCTCAAAAACATAGCGCACCTTGTGTTAGGTTTTTATTCTTTTTATATTATTACAATAAATTAAGTTAGAAAAACATGATTGATGGCAAATGCAAGAACGAAGTCCAGTTTATGTAATAAGTATCAAAATTCGGTGTAAGTCGCCAAAATAACGGTAATAGGACTTTTTATACAAAACTTACCATAAAAAACTGTTTCATAATTATTGCGCACTCTTTGAAATATGTTGAAACAATATTGAAAAATGTTAATTAATTTTGAAAAATGGCAACTAATTATTATGAAAGGACAGTTGTCTATGCTTCTAAATGCAATTTAATTTGAAGTGACAAATATTAAGCAGTTGTCTTTGGTTATTTTTGCTGAAATGTGTCTTGTAGTATTAGTAAATTACTTTATGTCAAAATTATGCCCTTAATTGGTCAATAGTCCAATTTTTTAGGATTATATATAGTGACATTGGAGATAACTTTCAAATGAGATTTTAAAATTTTTCCCCATGGAAAAAACAATCTGACCTTCTAACATGGGTTAATTAAATTGATGAAGTAATGAACTCACGTTCATACTTCATCAATTCAGCAACAGGTTCCACTAGAAGCGGTGCCACGTGGAACGACAATTGGATCTTCTCTCCGGAACGACTAGAGTCATACTCGGCGAAAAATTGTCTAGTAGAAGCGGTTCTACTAGAATCGTTTTTAGCAAAAAAAAAAAAAAAAAAATAATAATGTTCACGATAATTTTGAGAACAGGTTCTTACTTTATCAATTCTAGAACAGGTTCCACTAGAACCTTAACTACCTTATTTTTAATATGTTTACTATGGCATTGAAATTATAGAATTCAGTGTTTACAAAACATTTGTCTTTTGGTCGATGAAACTATTTTTTAACAGCCATACCTAAATGAAAGCGTTGAGCGAAGCACACTGGTTATCTAAATAAAATTCACACAGTAGTGTTTAATTTATTTTTGAGGGTTTCTCGTTATAAATGAAACACGTTTCCAATTTAATTAAATGTTCATTTATTCAATATTTAAAATTAACTTAACTTAGGTTTAAGAATTAATGATGATTTTTGATGTGCGTATGGCGATGAATATGAAAAGAATGTGGTCGAACAAAATGTATATACTATGTATGTATGCGTGTCATTTACATGAGCAGCGATGATGATTTGTGTATTCATTTGCAATTATGCATTTATAAGTAGGACTTGCGGGTTGCCACAGGGCTCCCCCCGTAATGGACAGGTCATAGGAAGCGAGCTGGAAGACAGCTGGAATGTGTGCTGCTTTCAGTCTGTCTATAGAAATGTTGGCTGTGCGTTGTTGTAATTGTACCTTGAAATATTTATCACTTTTTGCAATAACTGCGAATGGGTAAGGGGGTTCTAACGGAGCCCGAACGTGATTACTGCGGACAAATACGTAGATACAGTCCTTAAGACTTGGCTGCAAGAAACATTTACCTACTTGATGACGTGAAGCGTAATTAGGTTTGAATAATTGCATTTTGCGTCGTAGCAGCTTGACGAATTCGGTGCTGTGAGTGTTTATTCTCGACTCTTGGAAAAATTCACCTGGTAAACGTACGGGTCTTCCAAAAACCATTTCGACGGGGCTGCTTTTGCTGTCTTCTTTTACTGCTGACCTAAGATCTAGTAAAACGATGGGTAATACGAAGCACCAGTCTTCTGTGGCGTGGAACTTTATTGCAGTTTTAGCTGTGCGATGCCACCTCTCGCCCATACAATTTGCTTGAGGGTGGTACGCTGTTGTTTTTAGATGTTTCACGCCCAGAATCTGCATTAGTTCTGCGAAAAGGTGCGACTCAAACTGCCGGCCTAAATCGCCAAAAGTTGAGATCCATCCGTTAATTAAAGCGAAAGCGATTGTTTCAGTCGTTATATCCGGTATTGGGATGGCCACAGGCCATCGCGAAAATCGGTCCATACAAGTCAGGCAATAACGATACCCTCTGGCCGGTGGAAGCGGGCCAATGATGTCAATGTGAATGTGATCAAAACGCTGGTCAGTTGATCCAAAATCACCTATGGGAGACTTATTGTGTCGAAAAACCTTGTTTTTTTTGGCAGCTTAAACAGGATCGGACGAAATTCGAGACATTTTTCGACATCGATGGCCATACAAAACGATCTGACACTAGTTTGAAAGTTGCTCTTACTCCAGTGCCTCGTTTCTGTAACTCTCGCATCGAGAAGTTTCTCGCATGAAACAGTGAAATTGAAGAAAAAACAATGTGAATTGAAACAAAATATCATTTCTCACATGCAAGTGTTTCTGTAAGAAAATTTTGTGAGAACTATCTGTCATATATGTTTTTTGACGTAAGTTTTTGGAAATTTGTGAGTAAAAGTGTTTCTGTATGAAAATTTTGTGAGAAGTTTCTCACATGAACTGTCAAAAAAACTCATATTTTAAAACGGTGCGGAAAGTAATATTTTAAGTAAAAAAGTTTAATTTAAACATGAATTCTATGAAATAATGAAAAAGTAATGTCATATTTATAACTTATTAAGATTAAAATAAATATTGTTCACAATTTTTAGAAAATAGGAGGAATTTCGGATATACAGAAGCAAATGCTAAAAATACGTGGACGTAAACTTAGAATTTGCCAAGGGCGAATTTAGTGGGTTAATTTTTCGAACAATTTTCATTTAATTTCTATATTTTTTTGTTTGTTCATTATTCGTTTATAAATTTGTTCGGCAATTTTTGTTTTCTTCTTTTAATTTTTATGTTTTTGACGGCTGTTTTATTGGAAATTTCCAATAAAATAATTCGTGTAGCCTCTTCTCACTTTAAGCTACAGAAACGCTTTTTACTCACAAATCGAGAAACGATGGAATTTTTTTGTTTCACACTTCTCGATGTGAGAACTTCTCACTAAAAGTTACAGGAACGGGGTACAGGATACGATAAGCTGTGCAGATTTTTAAGTATTTTTTGCATTAGTACGACGGGAACAAATGGTCTGACCAGTTTTCTGCTTGTACCGCTCTATATTGATCGGTCAGGATCTAGAACGGGTAGTTTTTTAATAATAACGAATGTTTTCTATCGGAGTTTAGGAATGTATTCAGTTGCGAAACTCGTATATGCTCCTCTGCTAATGTTTCAAAATTAACACTTTTCTCAATGCTGCTAATTCGGGAGAGAAAGTCTGCAGTATTATTGTTTATACCTTCTATGGGGCGTATGTCCGTAATATAATTGGCGAATTCTTCGGGGGAATGTTTTGTCACGTTTGAGTTGTTTTGAGTAGAAACCCAGTGGTTGACTTTTTCCTTCAACAATTTGATGCACTACAGCACCTACTGCCTTTGTTGATGCATCTACAGCGTCAACAGAGGCAGTAGGTGCGTCCTTGCATGCTTGAAAAGCCTGTAATGTTCGTTCGTTCCAATATATCAGCGTAATGTCGTTTTTTTTTGTTGCCTGTTATTACATCTTGCAATAATTTTTGACCGGCAGCGATCGGTAAAAATTTATCATCCCTAGAAATTGTTGACTGCCCGAACTCTTTCAGGCTTTGGTAGAACTCCTGCGGTCGATATCGTATGGCCTAAAATATCGATATGACTTTTTCCAAATGATGATTTTTCGAAATTAACTGTTAAGGCGTGTTGACGGAGGCGCTCGAAAACGGTGTTGTTCCTCGGATTCCGATGCTATTAGGATGTCGTAGATATATATAAAAACGTAGCTAATGTCTCGAAATATGTCGTCCATGCGCCTTTGGAACGTTTGGGCAGCGTTTCGCAAGACCAAATGTCATTCGCTGGAACTCAAACAAGCCGAAAGGTGTTATTATGGCGGTTTTTGGGACATCAGCTGGTTCGATCGGAATTTGGTGGTATGCCCGTTGTAGGTCGACTACAGAAAATATTGTTTTGTTATGCGCAATTGATCGGACATCTTGAATGAATGGTATCGGGTATCGGTCCGGCACAGTGATGGAATTTAACGCATGGCCTCCAGTCTCCGTTGGACTTTTTTACCATATGCAACGGGCTAGCCCAACAGCTGTTCGAAGGTTGACATATGTTATTTTCGAGCATATACTGAAATTCTGCCTTGGCCGCTTGCAACTTGGTTCCAGTTAATTTCCTCGCGTGTGCGAAAACTGGATTACCGCTTGTCATTATATGGTGTACTACATTGCTTGTTCGTGTTATCATACGACAATATTGAGAGGACGTTAGAGCGAATAACATCTCCACTTACCACCAAAAGGGTTTATCTATCTATCAAAAGTCTTCTCTTCACGTCGACCAATAAATCGAATTTTTGTAAAAAATCGGTTCCAATTATAGGGTCGGTTACGTCAGCAATAACGAAATTCCAGTCAAAGTTTCGCCGGAGGCCTAAGGATATTTTAATTCGTCGTTCGCCGTAGGTTTTTATTTTTGATCCGTTTGCTGCATACAACTGGGTGGAATGCGATTTATTGAATTTCGATGATACCAGCACAACTCGGATGAAGGCGGGGTCGGTGTTACATTTGACTGGCTGTTATGGCGTACTCGGCTAGATGATCGTGTGCGTTTCGTGTTGAACAGTTTCTCGAAGTTTTTTTCAAGCCGTGACACGCTGATTCATTTCAGAGATTGCCGCTTCAGCTTGGGGCTTTTCTACAGCACAAACCTGTCGATAACCGCTGACCTCCATGACCTTGTCGGCAAGTTTAGCCAGATACACCAATTTGGCATCTGAAGCTTGCAAAATAGCTCAGATTTTTAAATAATTTTCACTAACTTTGTCCTTGGACAAGTCGCGTAACTCGTTGATTAGCTGACTTGGTCGGCGATCACCAAGTTCCATGTCAGAAAGAAGTTTCTGTGTTTTCTTTTGTTCGCTGTCACTGAAACGTTCAATAATGCACTTTTTGAGGTTGTCGTATTTTCCAGAGTCGGGTGGCTGTAACACCGCGTCTGAAATTTGAGCTAACACGTTGGACTCTTTTGCTGCAACAATGGTGTTAAACTTTGAAAGATCTCGCACGATGTTTCCCATATCGAACTGCGCCTCCACTTGTGCGAACCATATTTCTGGCCGTTCGGGCCAAAATGGTGGAACCTTTACTGATACTCGTTGTATCGAGGTTTCGTTCGTGTTAGGCGCCATTGCCTAGTCGTTTGTTGTGTCGTCGTTTGGCATTTGGAGAAATTGGGCAAGATTCCTTTTGTCGGGGTCACCAATTTGGGGGTTTCGCGATTTAACTAAATGTTCATTTATTCAATATTTAAAATTAACTTAACTTATGTTTAAGAATTAATGATGAACTTTGATGTGCGCATGGCGATGAATAAGAAAAGAATGTGATCAAACAAAATGTATCTATGCGTGTCATTTACATGAGCAGCGATGATGATTTGTGTATGGATATGCAATTATGCATTTATAAGTAGGACTTGTGGGTTGCCACATATTAATAGCTCGCGGCTTAGCAATATAGAACGCCTTTGCTATTTAATACGAAAATCGAGAGTGAAGCATGTTGGGGCCAAGAACAAAACACTGATTTTTATTTACAACATATTTTACAAATGAATTTATATAATATTAGAAATTTAAAGCGCAAGGTAACGATGACCATAATGTGCGGATATAGGTATAAATTTCATTGATGTTCTGTTTATATAGACAGTGTTTTATAATATTAATATTATTGGGATTTGAAAAAATCGTCTATACTATTAGTGGTGATATAGAACACTCCGTTATAATATGTATTATGTTTAATTTAGTGTTACATATGCTGCATATGACTGGTTGTTCATTTTCGTAATAGTGTTTAACATTAAATAGAGCCTTTCCGACTTTCATTCTCGCCATTGTTATGCAATCTTCTCGACTGAGGATTATGTGATATTTTGGTCTCCTGATACTATGATTGTGAAGACTTAGGAAGGAATAAGAGTTTTGCCATTGATGTTGTAAGTTATCAAAATAATATGACTTATTATATACATTAGTAATTAATTTTGGAAAGCAAGGAGTTTCATAAATTTGTGAAGTAAGCAGAACTTGTTTAGCGGCTACGTCAGCAAGCTCATTTCCTTTTATGCCTATATGGACGGTATCCATATTAAGCTTATATTATCAGTTACTTTCATTAAAATATTTTTATATATATCTTTTTTTGTTGTTGTTCGAGAGTGCATAAACAGTACTTAAGCTATCTCTGCATATTAACACTTTATAATTTTGCTGCTTGGCTTACGATACTGCTGCTTGGACAGCACGAAGTTCGGCTGTGAAAATACCTGTAAATAACGGTAGTATGCATTGATTAATAATCGAGAACTCAGATTCGCTTGTTTGTTTAACAACTGCATAAATAGTAGCATCATCATGGTAAGACCCGTCAGTATATAAAATGATATCAGGAGAATATTTTACTTTCTTTTCTGCGAGCATATATTTAAATTGTTCTGAACTGGTTTCATTCTTTTTGAGGTATGCAAGCTCGGTATCAATATTGATTTTGTTGTTCGTGGTGTTAATTCTTTCTTCACTAACACCACTTCAGTTTTTGTTTTTGCATTCTTTGCACTGAAAGAAAAGTTTGTAACATTTTTTAGTGTTGTATAGTGTACTACTTTACAGTGTACTCTATATAAAATGACAAAAAACGTTACGTTTTTGATTTTGTATGATTATATGTTATTAAAAACTGAAGCATGAACTATTATTGTTGTGCCTTGTCATCGGCAACGCATTTATTTGCAATTTAAGATACAAGGTGAACCTCCGTGCAGTTAAAACTAAATAAATAATGGAAGATTTTATGAAATTTAAAAAATAATAGATTGTTAAGTGTATAAAAATATCATCCAAGTTTTGCACTCATATGGATGGTCTATATGTCAATTAAGTAAAAATATCATCAGGACATCGACTAAAATCGGCTTATATTTCTGAAAATAACATAGTAGCGGATATTATATTTGTTTGGGAGTTTATGTCAATAATTAAACTTTTTTAAAATTTGCATTATTTATCACATTCACTAAGAAAAAAAAAAATCGCCAAACAGGAACTTATCTTCATATTTAACATCAGATATTTCTCTGTGTGGATCTCAATCAAAACACTTCAAAATTAAGAGAATGACGTACGTTGTACGTGTGAATTTAGGAGAGCTATAATATTGGAAATGAAAAATTTATTTTGGCACAGTGGATGATTCAGGTAATACCAAAAAGTCTCAGGTAATCTTCTTGATCCGTAATTGATCTCGATGATAATTTTATTGACATTTTTTCTAATAAAGATTCGAGGCTTAAAGAGGCAGTTTCTATGCGAAGAGAACCAATAGAAGTCGCTCGTAGCAATCCGGAAGCAGTTCTTAGGCAGTGATTTAAAGATGCATTTAGTTTCTGGGTATTGTGCTTTGATGTCCAGCCATATAATGTTATTCCATGTTGGATGATCCCATAGACTAGAGCTTTACAAATACCTAGAGCAGTTTCGATATGTGGACTTTTCTTCATTGAGCATATCAATTTTAGCAAATTGTTAATTTTACTTAATTTTAATAATAGATTTTTAATATGCTCGTTCCATGATAATGTTTTCGTGAATACAATACCTGAAATTTTCATTTGTGTTTTATATTCCAATTGAGTATTATTTCGTACTATATTTTGAGGTATACATAGTCTTTTTCTACAAACGTGCAGAACTTCAGACTTACTAGTTGGAATGAGTGCACCTCGTAGAACTGCCCATTGTTGAAGTCTGTTGTTGAATACTAATAAAGTTGATTTGACGTTTTCAGGTGCACCAATCAATATTTCTATTGATTTCGCCAATGAATTTGAATATACGAGAATCCTTGTATGTTGGTACATAACCATCTAAAACATATTTTTGGTCTTCCTTTCCTTGACAAGGTATCGATAACAACACTCAAAACATTACAACGCGGTATTAATAGTTGCCTTACAGTTCTTTCTATTTATAAAGTGCCTACTGATAATTGGGACCCAATTATAATTTTTATGTGTATTCAACGTCTGCCTAGATCTACAGTTATTTAGTGGGAACAGGGTGTTAAAAACAAAATAGTTTTGTCCACATGGAAAGATTTCGATAACTTTCTGTCAGAAAGAATTCAGACATTGCAATGTCTTCATGATCTTAAAGGTACGAATTTGACTGACGTCTCTTCTGTTCTTTCTAATAGTTCTCCTTCTACTAAACCTTCATGTATCTTATGCCCTAATCAGTCACACTATTTGCGAAATTGTCGTTGATTTAAAAATCTTTCAGTATCTGACAGAATATCTACTGTGAATGATTATAACTGCTGTACTAATTTCGAGGACACATAAAGGCAGAAGTTGTACTATCAATAATAACAGTTTTATTTTCAATATTCGTCATCATTCTATGCTTCATCAGCAGCATACAGATAATTTTATAATTGAAAGACCTACTGTTTCTACTGAACAGTATTCCAGTGAGGTTATACGACCCACTAACTCCCACACTCGACAATCGCATACATCTAATAATGTTACTTCTAATCCACAAGTATTTCATACTAGACAGAATCAATACGTTTTGTTAGGGACTGCGATGGTAAACATAATTCATAACAACCATAAGTATTAGGTCCGTGCTTTAAATAAGCGTAAATTAGTTCAGATTTAGATTCTTCAATAAAACTGTCAACTAAAGAATTTTACCAGAAATAACAGGAAATTTGCCTTCGACTGCTGTAAATGTAAATGTAAATGTTTATAACCGATTATGGCCTATATAGGCTAGGTTATTGAAATAAAGAATTTGAAATTGAAATTGAAAAAAATGTCGATATTTCAAAATTATTTCCAAATCTTTGTTCTAATCTTTTTACTAGTAGGCCTGTAGATGTTCTTATCGGAGCAGAATAATATCCGAGCGTTATTTTACCGGAAGTACAACAAAACATATCAGCGTCATTATTGGCACAGAAAACTATATTTGGTTGGATACTGACAGGTCCAGCTAATCCTAGGGACTTTGAAACATATATCGACAATTTGACGTATTTTACGTTGTCTATCGCTTTTTAACCATTAATTTATTATCACTTTGAAACGCTCACAGAAATATATGTATGTTCCTACTACCTTATTTATGTTTTTACCTTCTTATTTATTATCTTTATACAATTAATGTCGGGATAGTTCATATTTCCGAATTTGTTCACATTTTCGATATTACTTTATTATTATATTCTTTCTAAAAATCATTTCCGCATGGAATGAAAATGCAAAGATTATTAAAAAAAAATTTTGTAATATATTTGGAACATAAAAAGTTTTTAAAAATCCATTTTATAAAGAGTACATACGTAGTATGTACATAAAAAACAAACAAAATATTACGACAAAAAAATAAATAAAATTTACAATGAAAAAAGATAGGTACATACATATATAATTAGTTCGACCAGCTTATTTACCGCCAATTCCCTGATTTTTTTCAATACTTTAATGTCAGTTTGATCGACCGTTTGAAATTCAGCCCATTGGACAGCTTTGTTAAAAATTTCGACAGCTTCTTTAGCTTTAATGTTGTTTTCAGGCGCTTCAATAAAACAGTGGTCCTCACAAGGAGTATTGATCCAATCTCTAATGTTTACAGCAGTAAATACTTCTTGAGGGCACAATGTCTGTAGAAGATCTGCAGCAGTATTTTCTAAAGATCTAACTTCTGATTGCCACTTTTCTTTTAAAACGCTCAAAGGAACATTAAATTCAGGATCGTCTTCATCCTTTACCATATTCAAAATATTTTTCCAACAGTTAGATAAAGTTTATTTACCAACTCGGTTGGCAGGATGCCTCTAGAATAGAAACTCCTTCTTTAAGTGTGATTTTTTCATCGATTCAAGCAAATCCCCCTCTTTTGCAATAATTGTTGCCAGAAGACTGTTCCTATAATGAAGTTTGGTGATTCTAATTGCATTTTGATTCATAGACTGGATCAGAGCCGTTACATTTGGAGGCATAAACATAGCTTCTATGGAACCATCCTCGGATTTAAGGTCGGATTCTGGTGGATAGGAGTAAAGCTTTTACTGGTAATCGTTTCTTCTTTAAAAAATCTGTCACCTTAATGAAAAATAAAACAGTAAGAATCCCAATTGAACTATTTTTACATGTTTACTTACCTCTGGCACAAAACAGTTGGGAAACCATTCTTTAAAAATGGAAGAAGTCATCCAAGCAGACTTTGAATTTCTATAGTTTACGGGACAGATAAAATTTTTAAAACTGCGCGGATTTTTTTATATTCCTATTACTAAAAGTTTTATTTTAAGAGATCCTGACGCATTTGCACAGCATAAAAATGTTATTCTCTTGCTTTTCCATTTTTGCACCTGGAGCGCTTTTCTCCAATGACGTTACATATTTGTGGGAGAAATTTCCAATATAGACCAGACTCATCGGCATTATACAACTGATCATTGGATAAACCCAAATCTTCTATCTTTGCTTTCAATTTAATTTTAAAAGGATTTACGAACTGAGATTGCGCAGAAAGTTTTTCACCGCTTATCTGAAGGAGCCGAATTCCTTATCTCTTTTTAAACTTTTGTAGCCACCCATCGCTAGCATTGAAGTCATTTCCGTTTTCACTTATGTTTTTGTGAATTTGTTTAGCTTTCTCTTTCAACATCAACTTAAAGGGAGGTTTTTATTCCGCATACAAATAAACCACTTATAGAGCGATTTTTCCATTTTTGGAGGCTCTGAAGATCGTAATGTTTTGCGTTTTCCGGGTCCATAAAACGTATTGTTCACACATTTTAAAATATTGTCTTTTTTATTTTTTATTGAACATATTGTTGATTTTGCAACTTTTTACTTAACACTGTAACACTCGATCCAATAATCCAACTTCAGGACTTCTGTTCTGTGGAAAAAGTCGAGAGATTTCTTAAAAAATCCACCTTCGCGACTTAGGTTCTGTGGGGAAAGTCGAGAGACTTCGTAAATAATATTTATGTTAGCTAATTCATTTTATTGTAGATTTTTTATGTTTTTCATTTTTGAAGTGATATATCTCGAAATCTATAGATCGTATCGACTTGAACTTTGGGGTATTCTTTCAGAGTAATGTTTCCTATAAAATTTCCGTAAACTAGTTAGATATATATTTTTTAAACCAATTTATGACCGATTTTCTTCTTTTACCTCGTACATCAAACCCAACATACCCGGGTATGCATAAAAAATATATGTCAGTTATCGGACAAAAATTAAGTTTCGTTATAAATTTTCAGTTTTATTATTTAAATTATATATATTCTTGTATCTTTAAAAAAAAATTAAACTAAACAACAATTTTTGTTTAAAATACAGAGTAATGTGTCATTGTTCATAAATTTTAATGTGAAATATCATTTGGACCCTGTAACATTTACAAATATGGATCGATCTTGATGAATTAAAATTTTTTTGTATATGACTTAGCAAAGTAAAATTATTCTTATTATAATAATTTTATTCTTATTTTATATTCATTCATTATATTCATTTGTAAATTCTATAAATTCATTTTATTCAACAAAACGTGTTCATACAAAACTTTAAAGGTAAAGAATACAATCAAGAGTGTAAGGAACAATTCAAAAGTAGAGTAGACATAAGAGTTGCCATAGGCTTAATAAAAAATATAATACTGCTTGAAGTAATATTACATATAAAACATTTCTTCCCTTGCCTAAGGAGAGAACAACACTCTAGGTCTTCTTTGTCTAGTCGAACGTCTGGTAGCTGCTGTTGGGTCATGTGTTGTCTTGTTTGCTAAATTGGAGGAGGGGGTTGACAATCCTTCTGCTGGCGGTGTTCGGTTTCTTGTGGTCTTATCTCATCAGCGTCCTGCCAAATCCTTGCAGGTGGCGGTATATGCTCGGTTTCTTGTGGATTCTCTTCAACATCCTTCAAATTTTCATTTTCCAATAATCTTGTATTCAACGTAGTGGACGGTTGACGGTTGTTGTAGTTGAAGTTGTAATTTTTACTTCTTTCCATTTGCTGTAAGCGTCTGTCACAATCAGTAGCATTACTGCTAAGAAAGGACCAGCATAATCAATATGGATGCGCTCCCAAGGAACGCTAGGATACTCCCAGTGATGATCACCAAACTTTATTGTTCTCAATATCACTATCGATTCGGTGCCAGTAAACGAAAGAACGGGCCAGACCTTTCATTTTTACAATGCCAAGATGTGCTGCATGTAGATCATTCAAGATTTTATCGCGCAACTTACTCGGTATTACTATTCTGTGCTCAAATACTAGGCATCCAGAAGTTAGCCTGTAGTTGTCTTCCGGTGACGTATATCAGGCATTTTTTAAAATTTTTCCCGCCTCTAAGATTTCAACTATCTTCCCCAAATTAGAATCTTTTTCGCGTTTCTCGGCCTATGGTTTCTGCTCTAACTGGTAATTGATTTATTTGATTAATTACAAAACTATCAAATTCGTCGTAATCTTCTTCTAGAGGTTGAATATTAGAAATATTGTGTATTCTCTGAGGTATCCTCGAACAAAAATCAGCATTAGCGTTTGCTTTGGTAGGTTTATATATAACATTATAATTAAAGTTGCTTAAAAAATCTGAATAGTTTGCCATTCGACTTACGCATATCGCTAAGAGCCCTTTTCCGGAATGCAAGATTTGGGATAACGGTTTATGATCCGTTAAAGTGCCTTGCATATAAATATTTAAAAAATTTCTTTACAGCCCATACGATCGCCAACGCTTCTTTATCAATTTGTGTGTATTTTGTCTCTGTTACCGTCATTGTGCGGCTGGCATAGGCACTCGGTCTTTCAAGGCCGTTTCCAAACTTATGCGATAAGACTGCACCTAGTCCATGCTTGCTGGCGTCAGTGACCAATATCAAAGGAAGAACAGGGTCTTAAGGTGTTTAAACTTGCGGAGATATAATTATTTCCTTCATCTTATTATACGTCTTACTCGCATCTCTATTCCATTTTAATTCTTTCTCGAGTAACATATCTCTTAATGGCCTTGATATTCTAGACAAATAAAAGCATTATAATAAGTAGCTTTACCTACAAATAGTTGAAGTTCTTCAGGTGTTGTGGGCTTCGGCGCATTTTTTATTGCTTCAATGTGTTTGTTGGAATGTTAGCGGCGCCATACACTGCCCGTGTAAGCCGGATTAGTCCATGAGTTGGTGTGTTTAGCGTTAGCACATGAGCAAATTCATCGTCTATTGTTAGATGGGAATATGCGTCCGTTACATCAAGATGACAAAAAATCGTTGAACCTCGTATTTTCTTAAGCAGATCTTCTAGTTTCGGAATTGGGTGTTCGTCAATGATTATACGTGGATTAACTGTAGGCTTATAGTTCCCCGTTATACGAATGGCACCACCTTTTTTGGTTACTACATGAGTAGCTGAAGCCCATTCTGAGTACTCAACCTTTTTATAAAGACCAGATTTTATTTTCGAGTCAATTTCATTTATATACGCATCTTTAAGTGCTAAAGGAACCTCACGGGCCCTAACGAATATCGGGGTGGCATCTGGCTTCAAATGCACTTTTGATGGTGGACCTTTTAATTTACCCGCCACATTGCTGAACATATTTTTAAATTCTTCTAGAAACTGATTTAGTTGTTCTTGTTGTTGTTGTGGCAACTTCGGAGATGTTGTATTGATGCTATTAACTTGGTTTGGGGCCGCAAATATTTTGACGAAGTCAATTTCTTTTGCAATATTTGTTATCCATTCTCTTCCCATTAATGTATTAAAATTGCCGTACACAATGTATAAATTAAGCCTGCACAGTGTGTTTCCAATTCGGAGATTAACTGGGAGACGACCCATACAATATACTTTATGGCACGAGTAACTCGTAAATTCTCTGTCTGTCGGTTGCAGTTTCAATAAAGGCTTTATTTTACGCAAATAATTTATACTCATCGAACAGGGAGAGCCGGTGTCGAGTTCCATATTCACAGCTTTTCCATCTATTAGTGTTGCTATTATTTTCCTCTCATTGGACTTTATCGAGTTTATATTCTCTATTCTATTGAGTTTTTATACTACTACGTCAGCTGGTTCTTCTTCTTCTGATTCTGTAATGTGATGTGTTTTACTTCGACACATTTTCGAAATATACCTATCTTGCCGCATCGATAACACTTAGCTTGGCTAAATTTACACTCGTTCCTAGGATGCCTACCATCACATCCAGAGCATTGTGTATTATGTGGAATTACCTTAACTTTAGTCATATTTCGTTTAAAATCCGTAGACGCTGGATGTAACCTGTGTATCTCCTCGTCGTGGGCATGTTCTGATACTGACGGATTTATTTCAGTCGTTGTAGAGTGTGTAAGTTCCATATTGTGAGCAATTTCATACGCTGCCGCAAACGTTTCGGGGTTCTTGTTGATGATTTCATCGCATACCTCGCGTGATCTCATACCACAAAGGAGTTGCTCTGCTAGCATTCGGTCCAGGAAATTATCATAATCACAGTGAACAGCACACTGCTTCAGACGAAAAGCAAAATTTGCAATGGGTTCACCTTAGTCCTGTACCACTTTACGGAATTTTATACTCTCTGCGTATTTATTTCTTTTGCTGTCAAAATGATTAATTAATACATTTTTTATTTCCTCGAATGTAAAAGTCTCTGGACTCTTCGGACTTATCAGTATCCTTAGTGCGTTATTGAGTTCTGCCCCCATGTGAACACGTGCGTAACTATGATATTCGGCAACAAGTGTCTTCGACAATTGAAATGCCCATTCGAAACGTTGAAAGTAATCAGCAATTGTTGCACCGTCATCTCTTTAAATTCAGGCATAGAAAAAACTGGGACCTTTGCAGAAACTCCCACTGGAGGGTTCATGTCTGCAACACCGGCTTGTGTTACATCTATAACTGCTCTACGAATGGCTTCTGCCAAAGAGTTCGTCAAATTTTTCAGTTCCATTTTCTCCATTTTATCCTTAGAACACTTCTGACACCAATTTGATATTCTTTATTTAATAACCATTCATTATATTCATTTGTAAATTATATAAATTCATTTTATTCAAAAAGAATACAATCAAGAGTGTAAGGAACAATTCAAAAGTGAAGTTAACAAAAACATAAGAGTTGCCATAGGCTTAATAAAAAATATAATACTGATTGAAGTAATATTTCATATACAACATCTTATATAAACAAAATAGACCATAACTTAACAATTTTTTTTTTTTTTGTAAATAAATGCCTACTAACGAGAACAAAAAAAGTTTATTTAATGGTAATCGATTTTATATACCTCAATATAGAAGTCAAATATAGTAAAAATTTTACAAAGTCATATTATGCATAATGTCCATTATACGTTATTTATAATATGATTCTCTTAAGGTTTTTTGCATATGATATTTTTGTTCATAGTAAAACAATGAGAAAACTTTAAAAAATGCAAAAATTTAATGGTATGTGATAAAAAACTATTTAAATTATTTGCACAGGCGTTTTATTTAATAAGTTTTAATACTTTACCTAAATAGAAATGTATAAAAAGATGAAATAGTCATATAAATTGTAAGACATACCCGGGTATGCCGGGCATTGATGTACGTAATTATGCTCGGATATAGACAAGACGGTTAAATGTTTTTTATTTTTGATTCAAGTTCAGATCCCAGTAATGAAAATAATAAAGAAAACTTAATTTTTCAATGAAACTACTCAGATTAAAGTACGAGTAAAAAATTAAAATCCGATGCTTCCATGTTGATTGTTATTATATTATTTTTATATTATATTATTTTCGCCTCAATAAGCGGCCTTTAAGAGTGTTCTGGAAACAATATCTCGTTATTAAAAGATGGTGCATATTAAATCATCATTTACTACAAAAACAATCAAATTGGAAGATTTCTGGTACAGTGTTCGTACCAGGTTAGTGTTGGAAACGATTTTAATTTGGCTCTGTCGCAATCAGCCATTTCTAAAAAATTGGTTGAAACTCTGGATGCCTTATAAACGACAGTTATAACTTTTGGATAACTTTTGAAATGTCCGATGCGGAAAAAAATTAAGCCAAATTAAATTTTTTGAAAAAAACGGATTAAAATTTTGGTCTCAAAGTAAGAAGTCCAATATTTATATTTTTATAGCTACTTTCATTTCATGTATTGAAGTACAATTTTAGAATGTTGATGCAGTACAATTTTAATTTATAATATCCGTAAAACCTTCAAAACGTAAGACAATCTGAACGTTTTTCTCAAATTTATAAAAACAGTTAATAATTTGGTAAAAATAACGAATATATAGTATGGTGATCGACTCGGTTTTTTAACCGGTTTTTTCTACTTTAACAGTGTCGTTTTTTTAAATGTTGATTTTTCGAATATCGAATAACCTGTTCTTTTTCATTTTTAAAAACCGGTTTCGGGAGTCGCGTTTATACTGTGAACAAGTGCAGACGTCATTACTGCAGTATACATTGTGCAAAATAATAATTGTTTTGAAAAATAAAATAAAAAAAAAAAACATAAAAAAAACAACTAACATATCAAAAATATTTTGAATATTTTTAAATAAAAACATTAAAGAATTTATAACAACAATTACTGCACAATAGTGCTTGTATGTTAACCAAGCATGAGTGCAGGTAACGAGAATTGTGAAGAAAGCAGTGATAGTGATACCAGTGTTATGAACTGGCAAGTTATGAACTCTAGCAAACGTAAAAAAGCCACAATAAATACAAATATTAACAAAAAAACAAAAATTATTGATGAACCAACCACGTCAAGCAAAAACAAATATGCAGCCCTTAGTACTGATGACGATGATGACGACAAACAACCAGAAGAATTGGGAGAAGGAACCCCAAAGCCACCTAATATTTTCATTCCTTGTGTGACTGAAATTAATAAAATGATTCTTAGTTTTTCGACTGTTATTCCAAGTTCTGATTTTCATTATAAATCGTTAAGAGATGGACAAGTTAAATTATTCATTAAGACAATTGATACTTATAGAAAACTTATTAAATACGTAGATACCAAAAACATAAGTTTCCATACATATCAAATCAAAAACGAGCGTGCATATACAGTAGTACTCAAAGGTATTCACTACTCAACCCCAGTTGAGGATATAAAAGCAGAACTCATTCTACTAGGACACAAAGTTAGGAATATTGTAAATGTTATAAGTAGGGTTACGAAACAACCATTATCCATGTTTTATATTGATTTGGATCCGGGTCCAAATAATAAGGAAATTTACGAGCTACGGTACTTGAATAACGCCGTAGTCAAGGTCGAACCACCACGTAAAACTAATGATATCAATGTCATCGTTGTCAACAATATGGTCACACTAAATCGTATTGTAAAAAACCATTTGTGTGTGTTAAGTGCAGGTTAGATCACCCAACAACCGAATGTTCGAAAAACGCTGAGCAACCTCCTCGATGCATTCATTGTCTGCAAAATCACACGGCAAATTATAAAGGTTGCCAAGTCTATCAATCTATTCTTCAAAAAAGAACATCTTTTTATTCAAATCAAGTTCGGACTCAATTTCGAAATAACCCCAATAATCAAAATGAATATCCTGAAATTAATTCGTCCCAACAAAATCGTGGCTTCAGCTCAAATAATATAGGATGAAAAATATCGTACTCTGAAAACCTGAAACAAAATTCAAATAATGAAAATAATTTTATGAAAAGCTTGGAAATAATGTTAGATAAACACGTGGAAAGATTAACATCAACTTTAATGAGTATGATGTCTTTACTTATTGACAAACTATGCAAATAAACCTAAGAATTGCTGTATGGAATGCCAATGGTTTGGCAAGTAAGCAAAATGAAATTGAAATGTTTATGAAATTTGAACTTATAGATGTATTTTCAGAAACCCACCTTTTTTAAAATAACTGGGTACAACTTAATCACTGCAAATCATCCCGACGAGAGAACACATGCTGGCTCTGCAATACTAATTAAATCAACAATAGATTTTCATGTTTTAGACGCAATACGTAAGCCTTTTATTCAAGCTGCAGGTATTAAAGTTAGGTGTAATAATAATTATGTATGTATAAACTCAATTTATTGCCCCCCAAGACATCATGTAACATGCCAAGAGTATTAAAACTTCTTTCTGAATCTTGGACCTCGTTTTATAGTGGCAGGAGATTACAACGCAAAACACCAATGGTGGGGATCAAGGCTAGCAAACCCAAAAGGTCGTGAATTATATAAATGAATTACCAAACATAGTTATCGCACCTTATCAGGAGGCAGTCCTACATACTGGCCAACTGATGTTAACAAAATACCCCACCTTTTAGATTTTGCAGTATACAGTGGTATACCAAACAACAAGTTGGATATAATGACCGTTGATGATTTAAGCTCTGATCACTCTCCTATTATTATTAACTATAATACTGTATTAGAACTTGTATCTAAAAAACCAAAAATTTTTACGAACAAAACCGATGTTAATTCATTTGCTTATTGGATTGAGAAAAACATTGACTTAAAACTGTCAATAAAAGATAATATTGAATTGGAAAATGCTGTGGAAATGTTTACTAACTTAATTCATGAGTCGGCAGTGTTATCTACACCTCCAGAACGTAGAACATTTTCTGGTAATCAAGTTCAAATATCTGCAGAAATTAGAGAGCTAATTAGAAATAAAAGAAGGCTACGTAGAATATGGCATCAAAGTAGAAATCCTATTGATAAAACTAATCTA